ACTGAAATATTTTAGCAACCATCAAAATTAAATTAACGTTATGTGAGGGGGTATTTATTGAACCGGCAGTGATCCCGGCAATAAAAATTAAAACAAAGAGGTTGTGATCAATAATGAAGTTCAATAATGTGTATTCAACATCAAATTTTGCTACAAACTAAATAATTGGTCGTCAGTGTACCACTCCTACATAATAACATGAATAGCACACAACACATAATAACCATGAATTTTTAATGAGTAAAAAATTGTCAGTAAGTTAAGGCTTTAAGCAACTTTGGGATGCCTCACCCTCGTATATGCGGTGCTATTACATTGTTTGCCCTTTCACTCAAAGCAAACAAGTTATCAAGACGTAATATAAATGGAGCACTAGCGAACAAACAAATATATATTTGCATTTAATTTAGGACCCTCTCCAGACTCAGAGGCTCGACGGTTGCTAATTGGCTCTATGAATTTGTCGAGGGGATATTTAACAAACCGTAAATGTTTTGTCAGACACTGGGGTTGGATCCGGTGAAGATGTTTTTCCCTTAAATTGTCAATTCGCCCTGAGTTAAGAGCCGGGCCTCAAATTGAAGGCAAAGCTGTGTTAGCTTGTTAACACCTAATTCGAGACACTTTCGCCTAATCTGATATCGCACATTGATACCGCTATGAAAATAGGCTCTAATGTTTTGTATATTTTGGCTATGATGGATGCTAGGAAGCGGAATTTATGCTCCCTACGAATTGCAGTCATCTGAATTGTACCTTCCTAGTTCCATAGTTCCTTCTTCTCAGAAGTAGTGAAGTCATTGACTCCTACAATTTCATTCCTTAGGTCTATTTGTATCGTCTCCATTGAGCTGTTATTCGTAGACGATATGGGCAGCTGTGTCTTCCTCCTCATTGTTTAATCTGCAAATGGGTTCATCATGCTCATGTTATGTACATGATTTTTCAGATGCCAGTGACCGATTATTAATCAATTCATTCTTTTGAGCCTGGCCTACTCCAATTGCAGCAGTGAGTTTGCCGGTCTTGGTTAGGGTTGTTTTAGCCTAAGTTTATTGTGCCTAGCGTTCCTAGAGTTTAACCACATTTTTAACCATTCTGTGATGGAGGATTCTGTGTTTTTTGTTATCCCAAGTTAGGTTCAAGGCCTATACTTGGTCTTGCACATCCTCCTCTGGCCAGTGTGTCTGCTTTTTTGTTCCCAAAATTCCTGTGTGTCCTGGCACACAAGATATCATCAGGGTGTTGTTTCCCCAGGTTTTGGAGATTTTGGATGCATTCACTGACTAATTTTGATATGATTTTTTTACATGCTTATGCTTCAATAGATGCTTAGCTATCAGATCTTATGATAATTTTTTTACCACCTCTTTTAAAATTTCCTAGGACACAAGCATTGATAACATGTATTTTTGCTTGAAAGACCAAGGCGTAGTTCCCTTATGAGTTTGGTTGCTCGTATTTCGGTACAAAAATATCTAATCCGGTTCCTTAGTTTGTTGTAGAACCATATCTATACCATAACAGGTATCTGATGCTCTCCAGAGTTATTCTTCTTCTTTATAGTTCGTTGGGACTTTACTGAATGTTGTAAAGAATGTTTCCGGGATCATATAGTCAGTACTCATTTCTAATAATGGGTGTCTGATTTTATCAATTATGGTTGTGCACCCGAATCGTTTAGTTTCTATCCAACTTTTTGAGCATTAATCATCTAGCTTCATCTTGTACGATTGTTTCTATTGTTGTGTTACTAGTGTACTTGCAGGGGTTGTTCTCATACACCTGTGATAAATAGGTTTGCTAATAGTTTTGGGTAGCTTTGGTAGCTAGTTTTGTTGAGCTTTGATCCAACAGATTAGTGATCCATAAGTTATTTTGGTTCTTATTGCACAGCCAGTGGGCCATTTTCGGTTTTAGTCCCCAAGAACTGCCTCGGGTTCTTCTTGCGGTCATTAGCGATATTTTACGATATGCTGCAAGTGAGAGTTCCAGGTTAACTTTTTATCAGAGCCTCAATAACCTCATACATATTTAATCTGACCTTTTGATTGAATAGATTGAAGATGGAAGAGGTTTCGAATTGGAATCTTTGGTTGAGCCCCAAACTTCACAACTGTTCGCCTACTGTCGTAAATTTAAAGTTTGTTTTCAATGTCTAATTTTGATCAAAGGTTAAGCAGTCTTTTTATAATTTCATAACGATGGTTTGTTTCAGCATTGTGAATTCCATGTCAGACGTTTATCCACGAAATTGCATGATAACACACCAGGTCAGTGGTACGCAATGGGGTTCCATTTATACTGGAGGACAGATAACCCACGTATCTTTATCTGGGAGCTATTCGTTAGATTTATTTTCATTCTCTATTTTGTGAACCATACTGTTAATTCATTCGGATGTTGTATATGTTGAGTGTTTATGGAGTGACTCGAACTACTAATATGAACATCTATATCATGAACGACTGTACATGTAAGAATATCTGCAGTGCAGTGAAAAAAGAAATGGGCCAAGTGTGCTTTCCTGAGTAACACCCGCCTTAATGCGTAAATAAGGCGAATATTCCTTTCCCTGACGGACTCTGCAAAATCGTCAGATATGATCCCAGTATGATATAGTCGGCTTGAAGAAGGATGTTTTTTTAGTTTCTAAAGCAAGCCCGAGTTGAAAGGAAAGTATGTTGTTTCCGTTCAAGGGAAGAGACGATATTGCCAGCAACAAGATGCAGTTGTTCAAATGTCGAGTGAAATAAGCGAAATCTAAACTGATGATCGTGAAAATAGTAGAATTTTTAATTATGGGTTATAACATTCAATCAAAAATCAATAATCAATCAAAAGAATTAATATGTTTTCGCAAACGTTGCAAATAGGAAATACTCGAATAACGGAACTGCCAACTATGAAATCAGTTATTAAGAGTCAAACATTTATTAATACCCTTAGACTATTCCAATTTAACCATGTCTAATATCGGAAGTAAGATAAATGTTTCCGATTATATAATAGAAACGTTGTCGTTAGGATTCGTAGCTCATTTAATCAAACGTTTCATATAAAAAAAGTACAAACAGAATTGGATGTAATTTAAAGCTATTAAGTAAATTATTGTCGTGTCGTTCTAATTAGAACTTAGAGTCACTTGTCACGTGGCAGTCCGAGGCGAAATGGGTCTTTTCAACATAACTAAAGGCTTAAATCATAGCAACTTAAATGAATATAAATTATGCCTCCGGTGGCACAGCGGGAAGGGTGAAAACCAACTTTGTATAACACTACTTGATGGCGGCGATAATATTAATCTACGGCTTTTACAAAAGGAAAGGAAAAACTGCCTTGGGGAAAAGTTGGAGGAGAAATTTTAATCATAATACGATAGGCCATTTATCAACATTAAAATGACGGCCGCTCTGAGTTCTTGACTCTTAGTTTTTGACGTGTTTCAACAGACGGATTCTTGTACAAATTCTCAAGGTGGTAGAATTATTTTTTTATGGAAATGCAGTTATTCGTTCTAATTCCTTTCATCTTTAGTACAAAAACGTTATAAAATAAATAATAAATATTTAAATCATATTACTAATTGCACTCCTTAGGTGGAAAGATCAACTGACTAACTTGGTTTTAATAATATCGAAATCGCCCAAGCGGTTGACACACGGGCACCTGCTTTTGCGCCAAAGACCCTTACGCAGAAAAGATTGCTCGATGTGTCCCACGTAATAGAGGCGTGTCATGCCTTGGCTCTATACAGAGAGCATTTAGGTATGCCGCCGGACCTAACAAGAGTTCTCGAACATGGTAGCGAGTTTCAGGGTGAACTGTTCTTCTTTTTAGGGGAATTGAGAATTTTTTATTGTATATACCCTTCAAAATATGGATTTTGTGTTTCTGTGCTTTGTATGAGAGAATGTATTTATTGGTGTGAATGGGGAGGGGCTGCTGGCGAAGTAGCCTCTCCATCGCCTCGCCGGTTGTGTGTAAGACTGGGGCCGATGGCGGAAATTTTATAAAAATACTCCATCGACCCCAATTTAGATTAGTTTATTATAGGAAACAGGTAGATGGAGGAATATCGAGTACTCCATCTACCAAACAGAATTAGTGTGATCAATGTATGTTGGTGTGAATGTATTTATTGGTGACGTAGCATCTCCATCGCCCCTCATGTTGCGTGCGTGATTTGGGGCTACGGCCCAAAAATTTTAAAGTACCCCATCGACCCCAAATTAGAGTAGTTTATTGTAGTGAACAGGTCGATGAAGGAATATAGAGTATTCCATCTACCAAACAGTATGAGTGCGATCAATGTATATAGGTATGAATGTATTTATTGGTGTGATTGTGTATCGAGTGTGTAGCTATATTTCGCTAGTGCTTCGGGCTGAAATGATCAAGTTATCGGATGCCCCTGTCAAAAAAAAAAAAAAAAAAAAGTCCGGCTGACATCTAATTGATTAATCGCAAGATTTTTTTATTCAAACCATTTAATTTACTAAACATAAAAACCAGGAAGAGGGAAGAGAATATATAATTTTTAATACTATAATATTTTTCTCTTATTTTCATCTAAATCTGCAAGTGTAACAAGGTGAGAAATATATGCGTCTACTTGAAGACACAAAAGAAAATTCACACATTAAATTTTACAAAAAATGGACAGTCACTTTTGGTCAATAGACAGTCAGAAAGGTTGTCGGACTGTAGAGCAAAAAGTGATATATTTTTCTTTATTTTTGTTTTTTAGTTAGGTAAAAGTTAATAATTAGTTTGTTTTATTAGTAAATATACAATGAGAGGTAAAAAAATGGCCACCCTATTTTTCTTAGTAATTACTCGCAATCGTTGTGATTTTTATATGCAATGTTATAAGCAATAATATTATAGGCATGCTGGTCACTGCTAACATTGAATTGAAACCCGTTCCAAGTATCCAGTAACGATCCTAGCTGTGTGGATTCTTGCATTGTCAGGCATAAAAATAAACCGGCGCCAATTAGTGCCATATAACAACCAGCTGCTTATAATTACACATCTTCAGTGTATCGCGCAGCTGTTAAACAAACCGATCGATGGAGATCAAGTTTGTCCGACCATCCTTACAAATGCCTGTCCGAACAATAATGTTACCACCATAGCTTTTCCGGGGTGAAAATATTGTGGAGATATATCGCTCTCTTGTTATTCCTCTCTCGGCCTTCAGAAGTCCTCAAACAAAACCTCCGCAAACAAGATTTAGACAAATTCATGTGATTTCTTGCGAAACTTCACCGAACATCCCTGCCTTCTCGCATGTAATTCAGCTTCTGAAACTCATTGCCTTACCGTATACTGACATTAACATTTCTAACTTGTTGCTTGATTTCAACAGTTGTAGAATGGTGATTACGGAGTACATCCTAAACAGTAAAACGATCATCTGAGAAGAGACGACGGCCACCTGATCCATTCTTGAGTATTCTCCAGTATCTTGATAGCGATGGAAGACTATTCCGTTGTCCTGGGGACGTTAACTATCGTACATACGCTTGATGTCTCTAAATGAGCTCTAAAAGATAAATTTTCTGTGGATCGTCGTGTCGATAGTCATGCTGAGTTGGAAGTCTCAGTAGTTGTACGGATACCTGGACAAGTTGGGCTGCAAAAGCAGTATCGATAGATGGCACCCAGAATGTCTAAACCGCAGAAGAAAATGTCCGGAATTCAGAGAAAGGTAACTTAATGTGCTCTGCTTAATCTAATTAATTAATCTGTCATTCATTAGTTCCATATAGAGAGCGAGTCGTATGAGACACCCGATATAATAATTGTGCAGGAGTCATCGAAACTTTGTGTCCCCAGTTCCGATTGTTTTGAGAAAAAAGGGATATTTGTGTATATATAGATTTTTTTTAAATTTCAGTTAATATTATTATTGTACGTATAAAAAGTTTGGTGGTAGATTTATTCTGTGTTGTTTCTTGAGATTGTATTTATAAAAGTGAATGTGTTTGTATTACAAGAGCCTTGACCGTACTTGATATTGCGCCATTGACCACCAATTAGGCTAGTTATTGTATGTGCAGTTGTTTATGTAAAGCAATAATATAATAGTTTATATATAATGATATCAAATACTACATAACTCTACTTGAGGGAACAAAAGAAAATTCCAGGGGCGACGGTTAGAATCGACCCCACGACCGCAGGGCTTAGGAGCCAAGAGTCTTTCTTAAAAATGTGTTTTGCTGAGGTTTACCTCTCTTTACATTTTTACCGCATTGCAGTTTTGATACACAACTATTTAGATTTTTTTATATTGGAATATTTTTTCAAACAAACGCGTACCGCTTTTCACTCTTTTTTTCACCAAAAGAGAGGTTATCCTTAAAAATGATCCATAATATAAAGAAGAGAATGTTATTTTTTTGGCTGTAAATTTCAGCTGGTCGAATAAAAGGATGGGTCTCTTTTATATGTGGAACTAAAAAAATTAAATCTCGTACTCAACCAATCGGAAATCCAAATATACGCCGGGTTTAGGAGGGATAATCCTATTTTAACGATGAGCTGATAACAATAGATAAAATAATCTTAATGTTCTTTGTTTTTCAAGTTATATATTTTTATTGCAGTCCATAATATATTGAGTCATTCTTTAGAAAAGAAGTACCTTACCGTTATAGATTTTCAAATGATGGCACTTACCTGAAACATAAAACAACACAATAAGTAATTTCAAAAATGTCGTATAAATTATGGCTATTTTAATTTTTAATTTAGAAAATAAATTTGGTTAAGGCGTCGTAGTTGCTGTTTTCCATCCCCAGCATTCCATAAATTTTGTGAACAACACGACACCATAGCCTGTTAGCAATACCATTCATGATGTAAAGGTTCGATATGAAAAGGTGCTAACATTAAATAAACAATAGAAATGATAAATGGTGAAGTGAATATGTCGTTCAATCTTTATAAATATATAAATATAAAAAGATAGTTCATACTCAAAGTTAGTTGTATTCAACGATCCGGATTTCAAGGCTCATCATCAGATTGAAGGAATTTACAATTAACTCGACATGAATTGTAAAAGTTTTTTTCAATATTTTTACAACTCATGTCGAGGGACGTGGTTGTAAATCCCTTCAACCTGATGATGTGCTATAAGCTTGAAATCCGGATCCTTGAAAACAACTAACGTTGAGTAGGAACTATCTTTTTATAAAGATAAAATAGGCAAGTTCTTGATTTAAGAAAAGGGGTAAGGCAAATATTATTTGTAAAAAAAACAAACATATTTTGTAAGTAAAATTTCAAGAACTTTTTTTCAAAAACATAAAGCAAAAGCTAAATTGCGGTATTGCCGCGTAGATGTTGATGATTAGGGTGTATATGTAGGTCAGGTATATTATTAAACATACAGAAGTTTGTAATAATTTGTAAACCTCATAAAAAAATTTCATTACACGCCTTCGCTATTGTGCCTTTTCTGGAATAAGCGGGGAGGGTGTAATTGTACAAATTAGGATGCTTTTTCACCTCCTGCACAAATGTTCGACGTCTCCAAGTGATACTAACCAGAAACACACAACTAGCTCGACTGAAGTACAATTGGACAAAAGTTGCGTCGCAGCTGCATCCATCGCGAGTCGACCTGTGTATTGACGGCCTTAAACCATTGATTGGTGTTTCTAAAAAAAGATAGATTACCTGATATCTGTTGTTTATGTTTACCATGATTGCTTGCAATTAATGAATGAATTGTAAAGCGATTGGTATTTACCATATTTAAATGAACATAATACATTATTTCAATTAATTAATCTTTATTGGTTGATGGTATTGGTTGAAATGAAAAAGTTAGTGTCACGAGCGGGAATCGAACCCACGACCTTCGGCTCAATACGCCGCTGCTCTAATCACTTGAGCTATCGGTCCACTTCGGTCCACTCGGACACTAGCCCCCCCTCTCACCCTACAACCATTCGAATTTTCCCTCCTTTTTGCCATATTAAATCTATTATATTTCGAGGTCCGATTGACCAAATAACTTCTTTCAATTAATTAATCTTTATGTAAGATATTGCTTGAAATGAAAAAGTTATGCACGAGCCCGGACCACGAAATACAACGGATTTAATAAGTAAAACTAAGTATAGCCGTGGCCGTTTCATTTGTCGCCGAGAATCGAATCCTGATTACACGACATTTGAAAAATGGCAAAATGGAGGGAAAATTCGAAAGGATATAGGTTGAGATGGAGAGTTGGAGTCCGAGAGTATCTAAGTTAGAGCAGGGGCGAATTGAGCCGAAGGTCGTGGGTTCGAATACCGCTCGTGACAATAACTTTTTCAGTTCGACCAATACCTTACATAAAGATTAATTAATTAATGAAAGAAGTTATTTGGTCAATCGGACCACGAAATAGAATGGATTAAACTGTGCTAACAATCTTATATCTAGAATCCTTTTGCTGTCTAATAAACAATATTGGGTAGAAGGTAACGAGAAAGCACTAAAGATCTTGAAGTTATGGCTATCCTCTTTCTTTGGTTGTAAAGCTAATTAATCAAATTCTCTTCTCGTCAAAGCATTCCCTCAAGAGAGTCCTAGGTAAAAACAGGTATGTCTAGGATTAATAAAAGCTTAACATTTGTTTCTGATATTAGAAATAAAGTGAGGATACTCATAAAAACAATGTACTTGATATAAATATTTATTTTAAGCTGGATTCTTCACAAAGTTAAAAAATTAAGATGATTAGTGTAACACGTCTAATGTTATTTATGGAGATCCATCTAAATTGTTAACCGGGTTGTCACAACACCGGGCACAATGTTGATTTTGAAAACATTGACGTGTTGCACAAAGAATCTTCAGACATAAGAAGGAAAGTAAAAGAGACTTTGTACATTAACGTGGAGGAGAACTCTTGTAATGCAGAATTATTTTCAAAAATATCCGTCCGGCCTATTCGGATTTGTTACAATTTGTAAGGGACAGTCACAGGTGAGATAACGTTATCACGTGACGTTCCCAATCTTGCAGCTGAGCAATTTTTGGTTAGAGATTTCGATTGTGTATGTATAAATTATTCAGAGTTAAACAATCCTGTTTTTCTTGTAATGTCATTTTACTACAAATTAAAAAACAAACAAAAGCAATATAGTAAGTAGATACCAAAAAGTGTGCCAAAAATTGGTAATTGTTTGTTTTTATAAAATAACTTATTAATTAATTGTTGTTTATTTGTTTGAAAAAATAGGACCTGATGAGGACCTTGAATCCCGGGTCGAAAGCTTGGAAAAGTTGGAATTTTGTTTTATTTTACTATTGATCATACATCAAATTTTAAAAAAAAGTATTAACATAGAAGGAACCAGAGCCAAGCCAGCCAGTTCATCATAAGCTAAACCTCCTGCCCATATCATTTCCATTGTTTTAAGCAGAGGTCCACCACGAACTAGTTTTAGAGATTTTCATGGGACATTTCATTAAGTATTGCTAGACTCCTCAAGAAAACGAGGAAAATCGAAAGATTCTGGCAAAAAGAAGAATGGAAGACTGAAAAATCATAAGCCCTGTGTTCATTTTCAGTCGTACTGTCTTTTGGACAGACCCAAATAAATTAATGAAATGGCACCGAGAAAAGTATTCAGATTTTTTCCGGTTCAGACGTTAAATTTGATATGGTTTGATGGAAAACGCGGAGTCTTCATCTCGTATTACTTTTTCTTCTAGATGGATATGATTCACTCAGGGCGAAATATTAATAAAACAAAAACAGAAGAACCCCTCCGACTTTTCTCAAAAGTTCTCCGGTTAACAATACAACCTTTCATAATTTTAAGATAAATCAAGGAAAGAAACTGGGAAATTCAACCGGGCCTTTATTTTATGCTTCTGAGCGGAATTAAAAACAGAAAATATTGAGACTTTTTCTCTCGATTTCTCCGAACTGTATATAGATTAAAATTAATTTTTGAAACGCGTCTGTTAATAACGTCATTGTTGCTCATAATTTCAGATAAACAGTATCACTGATTACATCATACTTTGAAAATAATCTACTTCCAAAGTGATAAAATATCAATTTCGATGAGATTTCCCGATTAAAAAATTGTAAACTGTGTGGGCGAAATGATCGTGGAATCTTTTCATTTAAAGGTTATTTTAAATGATTATCTTGTTCATTAAGATAGATACGTTAGTTTCATTTAGAAGGGTTAGGGATTAGAATCAAATAAAAACTGCCCATATTTGATTTCTTCAAATTAATCATTTTCTTTCAAAAATCTTTTAGTTCCGCAGTTTTTCTTTAGTTTTGCAAGGCGACTTTCATTCATCTTGTGAGCATCATCAGCCTTCGTTAAAACAAAACAGAATAGAAACACATAAACGGACTGTTCATTTCAAAATAAGACCATTGAAACAGTCATAGCCGACGCAATATATTCACCTTTCGTCGCCGGTTCCTTGTTGTCTTATTCCATGTATAACGAGTCACCCAACTTGATCCAGTTTTTTTCCCACAAAACAGGGTGTTACAGAGTGAAATGTCAATTCTGCTATTGTGGATTCACTAAATAAAACGTAGTTCAATGCCACCAGAACGAGGTTTCTATCTTGATGTTTTTTTTTTTTGAGATATTAACATTTTTGTGATTTTGATCTGAAATCTGCTGGAACTAAAAGCTTTTCGAATTTACCTAAACAATAATATATAAAGATTTATGAAGTTCCATAGCAAAAAGGTACAAACTTTAAAAGAAATCCATTATGTATAGTGGTATAATTGGCCAAATTTTATGTAATGTCTTGGTTGAAATGAAAAAGTTAGCGTCACGAGCGGGATTCGAACCCAACATAATAAGCCGCTGCTCTAACCTCTTGAGGCTTGAGGTATCGTGACTTCAATCCACTCGGACATCAACTTTCCATCTCAACCTACAACCTTACAAATTTTCCCTCCTTTTTGCCATTTTTCAAATGTCGTGTAATCAGGATTCGATTCTCGGCGACTTATAAAGTGGCCACGGAGAACTGTTAGTGAAGTTATACTTCGTTTATTTATTAAATCCACTATGTTTAGTGATCTGATTAACCATATTACTTATTTCAATTAATTATTCTTTTTATGTAAGATCTTGGTTGAAATGATAAAGTTGTGAACTTGAAAAAAAAAACTTTCAGCCGAAGGTCATTGTTCGAATCCCGCTCGTGGCACTAACTTTTTCATTTCAGCCAAGACCTTACATAAAAAGAATAATTAATTTAAAAGAAATCTTATTAAATTTTTAATAATTTTCCACTTTTATCAGCATACTTTAAAAGTTGGTCTTGTATTCCAGTCTATAGGTTTGTTAAAGACTCCAATCTAGCCGGAAGAAAACCATATTCACATCAGCATCATGCGAGTGAAAAGATTTGTATAAATCATTTCCTTCTTTCGTTCCATAACGCGAGATGTGTCCAATGTCTTGACTGATTTATGTCACGGGCTAAAAGAAGACTCGGGAATGAATTTATCACGGCGGACTCGCGAGGTGGTGGGCGTAAATCAGTTACTTTTTTCATCGTGACAAGACTGATGTTTTGTTATGTAAATCGCCTTTTCATGTGTTCCCTCCCGACGTCCCTCCTCGGAGAAAAACGAAAAAGAAAAAACACGCAGGTACAAAATTTAAAACAGAAATTTAATCTGGCCTTTATATGCATTTAAAACAGTTCTTAATACCCATTTTTTCACACAATATAAATTTTCTACCATAGCTCAAATACCAAAACCGAAAAAAACCAACAAATAACATTTTATTTTTAATATACCGGCCTACTTCACGAACCTTGTAATAAATTGTTATAAATTAATTTTAACAAACAATTTATTACATGGTTGTGCTCATAAAATTTAACTAACAATTTATTACATGGTTGTGCTCATAAAATTTAACTAACAATTTATTACATGGTTGTGCTCATAAAATTTAACTAACAATTTATTACAAGGTTTTGCTCAAAATAGTGCATTAAGAAAAAAAGTGGTATTGCGATTGTGATAGTGATTATTATGATACACGCTGTGTGACTGTACGTGACGTGCGCTTGACTGCATCGGGTAGCGTCGCATGGCGTTGCGTCGGGTAAGGGTGTTCTCCGTTTAAATCGCCGATTGACGTGCTTTCTTCCAACTGCATTGTGGAACAAAAAAATAGATTGTACAGAAGAAAGTGCAGTAGCAAAAGAAAAGAAAGTTCAGATCGATTTTTATTTAATAAACAATTGTTAAATATATGAAGTTTTGTTAGGCCAATATTTAGGAAAGAAATGAAAGGATCATAATAAATTGTTACATAAATTATGGTCAAAAGAACAACTCAATTACTTTCTATCATCATGACAAAATTGATTTTTTGTTTTTTATCTTTTTAAAGGGCCCTTTGACGCACATTCTTCGAACTGTATGGATGATCTGTAAAAATTAATTGTGGAGAAGAAAGTACAGTGGTCAAAAAAAGTCTAGGCCAATTTTTATTTTCTAAAAAATAGTTAAATATAGAAAAAAAGGTTTTTAGGTAAATATCTCAGTTATTAACTCACCCCTTGTCATCGCGATCTCTCCTCGACCATAACAAATTACATCATCGCTTGTTTCCGCGAGAATTCTTTCAACATCCCCGCATGAAAAGTGGAGAAATTTATTTTCGCCTGTTCACAAAAAGTAAGGACAAATTTGTTATTTTTGTCTCAAAAATCAATGATTTTTAAACAATAGATTTTTTTTAGTAAAATAGGAGGAAATGCAATTATGGTAAATACATCCGCGTTGTTCGGAAATAAAAGGAAATGGGTAAAACAAAGGTGAGGGCCTCCCAACCGAATCAGTTCTATGCTGGAGACAGCCAAATGTATCAGGCTTCGGCCACTTAAACAGCCAGATAGCCCAGTTCCCCTACATCCGGGAGATAAATGTAGTGAATTAGCACAATCATCAGTAATTAGTAATTCACGAGTGGTGTATTTGAAACAGTGCACGTTCAAGGAGTGTTTTGGAAGCCGGGACATATTTTCATGATTTTCGATTTGTCCCGATCCGAGGTACGTGCTCGTGTTTTTAAATCCCCCCTTTTCGTTGAAAATACCCTAGATGATTTCTGTTATCGCTACTGGGAAACACAAAGAATTGAAAAATGGCCCGTGAAACATGACTCATTTTTGATGTGCTGCTGTAACTATTTCCCTGTGGCCAATTTATTCTCAGTCTGAGCACGGCGCCAAAATGCTCTTGAAGTTTTGGAAATCTCCACTCTTCAAACAATATTATTGGTCGTTGACATGTGAGTATTCTTTAATAAGCCTTTTATTTTATCTATCATTGCTTTCAATAGAATTATCTTTTTTTAAGAAAAAAAATACAATGTGTTTTTTAAATTTTAATGACTTTATTATATTTTTTATAATCATAATTAATAAATAAAAAATGTATCAAATTTTCTAAATGTATTTTTTTAACGTAAAATTCGTAATGCAATGAACTAACAAAATAATTTTTTTTTATCGTATAACGAATTATAAACGCCAGCAATCTATTAGCATGAAATTGTATACAATCAAATTTACGTTTCTTTGCAATTTAATGATCTAATTTTTCAATTTTAAAATTTCTTTCACGAATATAGTATGTGAGTGTTCTGAGAATAATAGATACATGTTTTTAAAAAACAACCTTTTTGTTAAAACAATAACTGAATGAGTGAAGCAGTTGACAGAACGGAACAGCAGTGATAAAACAGGGAAATTTACAAATCAACAAAAACGAACACCGCACAGAGTAACCTAAGGTCTAATTTTGCATTTTAGCCATAGATTTTAATGTCAGAAATTATAAAAGAAACACTACTGATTAATACAGTTTTTATCAATCAATTCAGTGATCAATCCTCTCAAACAAGGAACACGTTTTCCCAATGCAATCTGCAATTTTTTATTATAACATACATTACAACATAATTTTCGGAAACTTACAGATATTTAAAACTACTTACATATTTACATTGAGTGGAGAAAATAATCAATATTAGTCTCCCACTACACTTCACGAGATAAACTTCACTAGTACTCCTGAGAAAGGAGGTCATGGGGCCATTTCCTCTTCAGTCTCCTGATGGGATTGTAAGAAGTGTTCTGTTGGATAAGACATTTGTCAAGATTATTGGAATGATGGAAGAGGTTATTGTGGACTTTGATAAATATTTGGAGGAATTAGGTAAAATTGGATGTTTAAGGTCTTAATTGAGGGTAACATTTGGAACAAAACTGTGATAATATTCTGGGTTAAAGGTCATGCAGATATTCATCATAACGAAACAGTGGATGCATTGGCGAAGGAGTCCTTCTGTATTTCATCAGTCGAAAATTCCTAAAACAGACGGTAAATTTTTTTCAACCAATTGTGTTCGAATCTACACAAGATTCGATTCTAACGAATTATTTCGATTCTATACAAGCTAAATATCCTGTTTAACATTCCATTAAAGAAGCAATAAGACATGGTAAAACTCGTTTTACCATAAATGACCATTGAACGCCGGGCTTTCATTTTTACGTAGTCGTACATTTTTTTCTACTTTCTTGGGAAATAAAAATATTTTTTTAAAAACTAATCCATTTACAGGGCGCGTATACTTTTTTTTTACAAAGAAGTGTTACAATGATATCACTCTATTCCATGTTTTACGCTAAAATTTTACGAGTATATCAAACAATCTACAGCTAAAAAGCTAGCTTTAGAAAAGCAATTCTTGAGATATGCCAACATGATGAAATAACTTCGTTACAGGTCGTAAGTTATTCCGGGAGTTGTTTAGATGCTTACCTTGGTGTTTTGCTACAGTCTTGTTTCTCTGACCAGATTTAAAGCTATCAGGAAACACTGTATGTCCCTTAATAGAAATGATAAATGATGGAGTGAGTGCGGTGTTCAATACTTTTTAAAAAGGATAGTTCCTACTCACAGTAACTTACTGTGAGTAGGAACTATCCTTTTTAAAAAGTACTGTATGTCCCTTTTTCTTTGTCTTTTGTCAATAAAGAATACAGCTCACCAACAGCTGGCGAGTACTATCGACCTTTATTCCCAAAGCTTAAAACAAAACCATGGTTTTCGTAAGGAGGCAGGCAAAAGGAATTCTATTCAATATTTTCAGAATGAAAACTAACCATGGCATGTGGAGGGGTTATATGCATAGAATTGGAATAAGCACTTTCTGCTGCGCCCAATATGCGACAGTCCATCAAATTCCAGTCATCAAATATTACAATGCCCAGAGTATGATAACGAGAGGAAACAGTTATTGGATGATTTGTATAGTGACCCGAGTGTATTTGGCCCAATAAGACTTGAAACGCTGTTGGCAATTAACAACAGTTTTTAAATCAATTAACATGTCATTTTAAGATCCTGGAGAAGGGGGAAAACCTACTAAAATAATGAAGATAATACTTTAAAAAATCATATGGTAATATTTCCAAAGGAAAAAGCCAAAAAGAAGGGAAAACACATTTGACAGATAATATTGGTATTCACGATCTTTGTGTTAACCTGTTAAGTCTGTTAGGTTCTGCTACATCGAGAAAAATTATGACGTAGACTTGTAAGAATCGGCTAGTTAACATTTGCTCGATCTAACAGGCCAGAGCCAATGTTAGGTGTTAGGTCGAAAATGTAGACACATTTCTATCCGTTAGGGCGTAGGTAACCAACATGGCAGCCATGAATTTAACAGATGTTTTTTTGTTTACACGTGTTTTTATTCTTAAATACGCATTAATTAATTCAGACCAAAATATTTCTCTTGTTAATTTCTGGCCTGTCCTTATATTCTCATTCATAAAAGATATATCCCCCATCCTATAAAGTTGTAGGTTGTTAGCCGTTAGGATATAAGTTAAAGCATAGAAACCCCCTAACCAGATCTCATCCTACTGACCTATTAGCCTGCTTCCCGCAATGTCCAAAATCCTAGAACGACGCCTTTTAAAACGCTTAATACCAATCCTAGACACATATAAAATCATTCCCTCTCACCAATTCGGTTTCCTTCCTCAACATCCAGCAATGTTTTAGAGTAGTCGACACCATCTCATCGGCCCTAGAAAAAAAGGAGTATTGCCTGGGCACGTTCTTAGACATAGCACAGGGTTTCAACAGTGTCTGGTATCCAGGCATACGTTTTAAACTTAAGCTTCCTACCCTCTCATTATTACCTTTCTTTGAAATCCTAACTAACAGATCGCTGTTTCAGAGTGAGGTGCAGCAACGAATTCTCGGAAATCAAACAGATACAGCCGGTGTACCGCAAGGTAGTATCCTTGGTCCTATCCTATATATCATTTATACTGGTGACCTACCAATACATCATGACACTATTATCACCACCTACGCGGACGACACCGCAATCCTATCCTCTAACTCGAATTTTATCGAAGCTACCTCCAGCATCCAGGAACACCTTGAGCTTATCGAAGACTGTTTTAAAAATGTAGGACAAGACTGAACGAAGAAAAATGCACTCTGTGCATTTTTATGCTTGGAAAAGCAGTCATTCTACATGCCAGCAGCAAAGAGATTCTCTACACAAGGCATAGAAACAGCAATGTAATACAAGGCTTGGACTACAACGAAAACTTCTAAGACCGAAATCGACTTTGACAATTAAGACAAAGTTAACATTGTACTTTACTAAGACATACGGAGTGGAACTGTGGAATACTGCCAAGCCTTCCAATATCCAGCGCATCCAGTCCTTCCAATCGAAAGTCCTTAGACTAAACGTCAAAGCACCTTATTATGTCACTAACCTCACTATCCACAATGACCTCATCATCCCTTTTGTAAACGAACTCATTCGATCCAGATTTCAAATTTCCACATGAACCTTTCGAACCATCCTAACCATACTGCTGGACGGTGGCCTCGGGACCTCCTTGACACCTAATCACACACATTGAGTGCCAGCAATGGCTGGCTCCTCAAAGCATGTGTTCTACCGGTGCAGTGCTGGCATTAGTGCGAGTGTTGTGCTGTGTGATATATTAATCATGTGTACATATTTGTATAGTATAATGATTAATTTTCCGTTTTTTACTAACTACTGGCATTTCACAATTTAACACAAAAGAAACCAAAACAAATAACAACAAGCCTTCAAGGACTGTTATAGCTTTATTTTGGTTCTACGAATCGCCGAGCGCAGCATTGCAGAAAAATTAACGTTTAACATGCTAAGAAAAGAAGGGGGCGTTCACGATCTTCCAGAACATTTCTCTATTCGAGTGAACATGAGTTAACGTCTTACAAACATCGTGAATACCGCTGTTATGTAACGTTTTTAATCGATCTTGGGACTTCAGATTGAAAAGATATGATACGTTGGATATTGGAAGGATTAGCGGTTCCCCACAATTCTATTTCGAAAATACGAATCGGATTTTTGTAAATTGTTTTTCGTCGATGGATTGGATTTTTGTCCTATGTAGAGTAGGCCGTCTTTTTAGGTCTTCTCGTCGTCGTATATGCTGACTCCATGTTAAGCCTGCGTCTAGGTGAAACCGAACTTATCAAAAAACAGGCGGATTTGAGGACTTGAAACATGGCTGTAGTAGATTGTCAGAGGAGATTTGCTACGGAGTGTAAATGTGACAAAGACGCACTTCCTTTCATTCAATTTCACTTTTCATTGTCTACACCAACCGTCTATAAATATGACATGTCAATGCAGGATCGGAGTTAGAGGTACAGTTGCGCATCGGCAAAAGATCAAGGATAGTAGTGCGAACACCTGCAGTATAAAGGAATTTTGTTTGATTGCCCTGCGTAGTCTTAAACACGTCGTACAGTAAAGTTCGTAAAGAACAGCTCAGTTAGATAAGGGTGGAGGTAAGTAGAGGGTATTTGGAAATATACGCTTTAATTTGTACAGGAGACCCAATGTGCGAATGTGGCTTCCGTCCTCATCATTCCACGATCCAGCAAGGTTTCACAGTTGTTGAGGACAAAAAGGGTTGTGTCCGTTCTCGGATTTGGTTTCTGATACGGTCTGGCACCTACGCATCCTTTATACACTTAAACACTTCCTACTGATTATTACCTTATTCTGGAATCCTATATAACTGACTGATACTTCAGAGGAAAGTGCGGCAACAGAATTTAGATGATTATTTTATGAATTAAAATGTGCAGGTATAGGGGAATTCCGCTATAAATATTGAACTAAAATAGATAGCAATAATCAATTTTTTATCGTTTTACGTGATTGAACGAACGAAGTCGACGGTATTGATAATTTTATACTGCCTTGTTGAACACTATTTTGTAATAAAACTATTTTAAATTTAAAAATAAATAAGTGGCAGCAAAATTAAGTTAGCTTATTAGAACGCTGGAGTATTCAATTTTATATATATATATATATATATATATATATATATATATATTACGAATATAGGAATTCAGTTTGTGAATATTGGCAATT